TACAGTGTTCCGTGAGGGCAACAGACAAACCTGAACCCTCATATATCGGTCGGTATAAATACTAATTGGTAAAAGACCTATTCAAACAATACATGAGAATTTTTACTCGGTAAATGGTAAAGTGGACATGTCTATTTGTCTTGTTATTAGAGTGTGGGTGCCATGAGCGTGGGCTCCGAGCAGATACTCTTTAGGGAAGGTAGCTAATGCATCGCTACACTCGGGCACCGGGAATATCGACACGATAAATTTAAGCTGTGGTTATAAATTCAAGCCAGTAATATAAGTCTACTCCTTTCTTTATTGTCAGCGTGAATTTAATAGCGATTCTTGTGGGGGAGTGCGAAGTCAAGGAATAACTGAGTGGTCTAGCAAGCACCGACATTATCCTATCTTATTGTTATGTTTGCTTGACTAAGCTCAGACGCCCGGAGAGCTTTTTTGCGTTATTATAAATCATATTCCGCTTAAGTGCTGTCTAAGTTACTGCTTTGCCGTTTTTATTTCGTTTTGTAAACATTTAAATGTTTGAAAGTAGGTACATCTACCACCGTACTATAAATGTTTAGTTTGTTATTAACTGAAATAAATTATGCGATTGTAACAATAATAATGCTTTTATATATTTTCTTTTTAAACGAATTCTTTATTAGCGATCTACAAATTAACAACAACTACTAATAATGAAAGTGATTCAATTCATCAACTAAATTCAATAAACATTAAATACTCAATCTTTTGGTTGGAATAGTACCTAATTCAATACAGATATACACAATAGCGGCCAGTCGTGATCTCAATAAAATGGCCGCAGGTATCATCATAGAGAAGAACTCTTAATTTAGCACAGTGACGTCAATACTTTCACGCCTTATATGAGATTGATTGGCATGGAAATAGATAACTATTACCCATTGTAAGTAATATAAAAAATGGTGCCGGCAAAAAACTTGGGCTAAATAACATCATAACCTACATTCCGATTGGTGGTACCGAGCACCAAGCGACGTCTTAACACTGAATGTGAATTTTAAACAGACTCGGACTAGGGCCATATTCGAGTGTTTCTCTTTTATCGGTCATTGTGACTGGCATCGCAGCCTGCTTATATTCTGATATTGATATTCAGACGGTGACGCGACGCGACGTTTCTTACACACTTGCACCACTGCGAGTACATCGGAAACCAATAACCATCCTGTACTAGAACAATACTTTCTTTGTACGTTTACAAGCCACGTGATGCATCGCGACTGTAACTTTGCAAAACTAATTCAATCTACAGATTGTGTTATTGTATTACAATGGGAATATAATCACATTGCACGTATTACAGTAAAAAATATAAATGGTAACTACAGACAGTGAGTTTGACAATAGACAAAATCACGAAGTATACGCTTTGATTATTACATAATAGTACACGAAAGCTGCCTATTGTTGATAAATCTCCTTAAATATACCATGAAATAAAAGTCACGTCACAAAATTACAATATAACAAGTGAAACAGAAACGGTTTACGAGCTTTTTTGCGACATTTTTGTGGTCCGGTAACGGTTTCGGCTCCTACACCGGCGGCGACGGCAGCGCGGCCTGACACTGAACACTGCCGTCTGTACAGCTACCGCACGATGCTTCGGCTTCCTGCACTCCACTAACAGTAAGACGATCACTACTTTATGGCTGTCAACAATATGTTAAATAACCTCGAGTTAAGATCATGTGGAACAGCGAATGCTTGTAGCCATTAAAACCATTGGTATTGCGCTCCATTGTGGCTGTTCGATTCTTACGAGTCTATAAACCTATATAAAGTCGTGGTATGTGGGTAAATATTAAATGTGAATGGCAACACATGTGCGTCGAGTGTGGCAGGTTGCGCGGGTCAATGGCACCTGCGAGGCCCAGATTCAGTTCCCCATAAGTTGCCATTTTCTCAGGAAGCGGCGGCGGCGCGTGGCACGCAGCTCTGTCGACGGACGCCGCGAGCGCATTCTGTCACGGCGGGACTGCGCGCGCGCATATTGACGCGCTTTCATTAATGCGGAGTCACTGGAGTCGCCGAAGACGTTGCTAACTTTTAAGGATGCTTATTTTTATAGCTGCCTTCTCCATAACAGCTTTGTCTCAACGCGAATTACCGTAAGCTAAGTATTTCTAAAGAATTTGAGCCAATATGACAATTGTAATAAATAATTAATGTAGCCACCTTCGTTAAAATCCATGAACTTAAATAGCTAAAATCGTATAGTTTTTGCTACGAGTAAAAAAGTGTAGTTAAACATCATGGCCATTAGGTATATTTAAAGGAAGAGCGTCATCCAGTCATTTAGCTCCCGTCAACTAGGCGTATTTCCGTGCTCTAAGTGCTAAACACTAAACAAAAGAATCGGAAGCTTGCCGACCTTGCAGGTACCATCATCAATGATTGCGGCTATTTACTTTTGATTTGCCATTTAATTTTTGTTCGTCCCGTATGCAAATACATTTTTTATTCTTTGTTTCTTTTGAATATTTAAAAAGTTTTACTGTAAATTCTACTTTATTAAACATTTTCTTAAATTGTCTATATTACATAATGTTTTTTTAGATAGTTTGAATTCGGAAGGTCAAATATTTTTGGTATATAGTAGTGTTTCATTCATTCTCGTTATAAAAATTTACGTACAACTTCTTCTTAATTTAGGACACGGTCAAGGCAGAATAAACTTTTGTAAAAGTTGACTTTCTTTTGTCGGATAACCTACATGATCAACAAGTTTATTAAAAATGACATCAAATTTTACTTAAAGCATAGATAAGCACACAACATGTAACCGAAATTACCGCAAAAATATAAACTGTATTTACAAGTATAGTATTATACTTAACTTCAAATATATTCTTTTTGCACTTAGCCTTGTCATTGACCCCTTGATATTGACCGTGCAAAAATGACAACAGAAGTAGATACAGTTTCATTGTCTGCTATTACGCAAACACAATACAAATCGCCTCGAGTGGTATTAACAGTTATTACTTTGCATAATTTCATGTGAGCATAGGGAAAGGGATCGGAAGCAGTGTCTGTAGTTAGTAAAAGTTAAAGCACGGATGTGACGGCGGCGGCGGCGTCGGCGACGGTAGCGATCGGCGGCGGCGTACACCCAGCCGCGGAACCTTCACCCTGCACTTGAACTCGAGGCAGGCGCGCCCGAGCCCACCCGCGCCGCCCGCCGCCGCAATCAACCGGACCGAAACCGACAATTCGTACACCACATTCACCGACTTAGTCTCGTCTCGTCGCAAAGTTTCGGAAGCTGACTTAATCTTTTTACCTACATCTGCTATAAAACTCGGTAAATACTTGAGATAAGACATTCATTTCCTCGAAAGATCGTAAACGTAATCTACAGGGGAATATCAACGTTTGCTACTTTACAAAAGTTTAATCACTGAAAATAATTTCCCTAAAACTGAACATCATAAAATGAACGATCAACTCGCGAAAGTGTACCTACGTATTCGACCGGCTGTTGGTTTGGTTTTATTATTCCAGCCAGTGTAACTTCTGACTCAGAATTCACAGAGGCAACACACTGACCCCGAATAATAAATTTCGTTGCTAAATGAGCCCCGAGGGGGCTGGGAGCCCGCCGCGAATTCAACTCAAGATAAACATGAGCAATGGGAAACATTCGTTCGACTTCTGAACTTAGGGAAGACAGATTAAAATAGATGGAAAGTATAACAAAGAAAGTACTCGAATTAGAACTTTTTGTTATACAGAAAAAGAAATGTCTAAGACAAAGAAACCGAAAGTTGGCGTACTAAACCTAAGTATAAGTTTAAGAGAATTAATTGTATTGAACTCGAAGAAAGTAATGAATACATGAAAACACAATTAAATGAACATTAGGTAATATCAGTGTGAGCGTTGTGCAGGACTAAGTAAAGGGTGCTTCGCGCCGAGTACAAGGATTCCTTCCTCAAGAGTACGTGACGTCGAATTCTCGGGAAACTTTTGTTGAGATGAGGGAAGCGAGCCCACTTTAGGGTTGCTCTCACATATCTTCATGTACATAAATGTAAGAGTATATTTATACAACATTATTACGTTGTTTTATAAATAAATAAGTCTTGGAATTTTTGAGGAAAATGTTTATGTTTTATTTATATTATTGCATTGTGAATGTCGTATGTACGCGTCGATTGCTTGATTTGATTTCAATCTACTTTGTAAGTACAATCGTGAATGATTAGTGGTGGTGACTGTGAAATATTGAATCCGCCACGCTCGTTGTTGTGGCACGCGGCTGTATCCGATTCACTCAAGGCAGACTATGTATTTCATCTATGTTAAATTTTGCCGATTTATACAATAGTAATTGTCACAAAACATTCATACAATCACCTCTATCTTTTCTTATAATTTGTCTAATGAACCAATCTAAAACTATACGAACGTTTAACAAAAACGTGACTTCTTATTATGTATGTAACCACAGTTTTTTGGCACGAAAAATATATAAAATATTTTAAATAAAATAATATAACAATTAAAATTCGCATTCTTCAAATACAAAACGTTGTGTTTTATACTTAATTTGAGAATGTACCATGGAAATTGAATTATTAAACCAATGGAAAAATATACAATAACGAAGTTGGAAAATGCAATAAAATTTCAATTTGTTGTTTTGTATTAGAAAATTATAAATTATTTAGTCAATTATTGTTTAATAAAAACATATTATCTGCAAAACTAACATTATCACGAAAATACTCTACAATACGCTCTAAGGCCTGAATAGTGGAAAAGCTCAGAGACCGGCTTTTTCAGACGCCGCGCTTTTGCGGGCTGCGCATCGGTGTTTCATATAATTTTGCATTTATTATTTACTCATTTTGAAGTTACTGCTAAAGTTTTTAATATAAATTGTAATATTTACAGAATTTGCATATTATTTCCAAACATTTTATTACAGTAAAAAAAATGTAAAAAGCAGGAAAACTCACCAGTCTTTGACACTAAATATATATTCGCGTACACAAGACGGCCGGCAGGTATAAATGAAGTGTCCAGCAGGTAAGAGTTAGATCGTATCGTTGCCGGAGCGTGGTGCTTTCGGCACGGCCGGGCCGGCACTGACGCGAAGCGGGCGCTCGCCCGATGCCGCCGCTCTCGGAGGCTTCGCGGCGCGAGCTTTCAGCGACACAAGACCCGCACGCACTGCACACTGCACTCGCCCTCGTCTACCCACGCGTTGCGATTCTCTCGATCGTCTACTGTTCCGAGCGCCCGACGCACGTTTGAACTCTTAGCGGCGCCCGCTTTAGCGTATAAATATGAGGTCCGGTGGCGGGGGCCGGCGTCGGAACCCGACGCATCGCGAATCCACATCGGCATAAATTGAAGATGCAGCCGATGTCCTCCCCATTGATTTTATTGCTTATCTATTAGATATAGCCAATTAGCAAAATTCTCGCCATCGCATCGCGGTCGTGACCGTTTCCGTAATCAATGCGCATGTTGTGTATAATTTATTAGATAATAGATAAAGAACATCACTTACACTCATATCATTTATAGAATATTTACTTTAATTTGTTGGTTAGTATAAGAATCTAATGAAACGAAAGTATGACCATGCAAACTAAGAATTTGTCACACTAATTAATTTAAAAAAAAGAAACACAAGCACTGATACGAGAATAAAATATTTTTTTACTGCGTTTTCTAATTCTAATTACATTTACATCTTGGTACACACAAATGCGTTCCCATTTCAGGCATCACTGTTTAAGGACAAACTGTAATGTACATTTGTGGGCGCTGCACTTTACAGGTTTGTACCCTAGCTGACCAATAAACGTTGAAATGTTCAGGAGATACAATATAATTGTGTAGGGTAGTACCTTATGAGGTAAGAGAAGTAAATGCTGCGAGTGATGAAGAAGCGACGGCGACGCAGCGCGACTCTCGAACTACCAGCTCACACACACACATACATACACATACACACCCGCACAAACATGCAACACCACAACATCCGATACGCATGAACACGTCAATTACCATTTTACTTTTTATTCTGTCATATAATTTCATAAAAGTACCTTCTCAAGGCATTTCATTAAATATGCAAATACACGCGTAAACTGAAAGAATGAATTAATCAAAATAACAACTTCAGCATGTTAATTCGCTGTTCATAAATTATAATGTAAACGTTGATAAAATATGTGTTATTAAATATGTTTTTATCTATGTACGGCTGGCACAGGGCAATATTGTGAAAAAAAGAATGTAGGTAATAAGTGTTTTATGCTGACAAATAGCCGTGCATGAAAATTTATCATGATTACATAAAGCGGAGTGTGAGTGCGGACGCAGTACGTAGGTACACAAACAGCGTACGATACGATATTTAAGTTGACACGTGTTTTGTATCAACCGTGACATAAGAACTAATTCGTCTAATTATACTAACAATTTCACAGAATTGCATAACAAAAACTAATGCAATTTATTTCGTGGCCACTAATCCTTTGCTTTGTAAATTACGCGACTCGCCCCGGCTTCGTACGCCTGCAACGCTGGTACTAAATTTTCTCACTATTTAATGGATATTATTATACAGATAAACTGTCCTTTTCAATAACTTTACCTGTTAAACAGCAGTATCATAATAAATTGTGTAGTTTTGAAGATTTAAGCATACATTGGGATATAGGGACAGAAAATGTGACTTTGTTTTTATACTATGTAGTGATTTAAAATTCTTGGTCAATTGCAACTTCACCTGCTTAAAAAAACATGAACTATATCATCTTCCTAGCCAAATATAACTACACAAAATGTTTACCATAAATTAAGGGCTTCGTTATGATATCAAACCAATTCTAAAGCACCAATCGAAACACATAATATCACTTTTCCCCGTTTGAATATTGAACCTTTAAAATAGAGATTTTTTTCCTACCATTAGACTAATTATATCATTGCGGTGGCGGCCTGAAGCAAAAAAGGAAGGGGATGGCTTTTAGTCAGTAAGAGTCTGACACTCCCTTTCACCTCACCTTGGGTGAGAGTGAATTGAAAGATTTCCGCCTCGAAAAAAATATATTTATATACTTTCTTTTTAAAGTTTTCGCAACAAAACAAAAACAAATGTAAGTAGTACATAAGCGGATATAATGAAATTTGAATTTACTTTTAAAGATTACACGTTGTTATGATATTACGAATATTTGTTTTATTTATGGTTTATATATAATGAAGAGTATTTTATTTTTGTATTATATTTCGTATGGTCAAACATTCGTTGTGATTATTCAAGGTAACACAACTGTTATTTTTCCTAAAACTCTATGTGTATACAGGTGGTTAACCTAGTTATCATCTACGAGTGTTTCTACCACCTATATACGTTAGATACGTCATTACAGGTACACTTCAGATCAATTTAAAAACAATTTTGTCACAGATTGAATTACACGCCTGCCTTCAAACGCTGTAAAGAGTAGACGGATTACCTGACGGTAAGCAATCGGCGCCGCTCATGGGCTCTTGCAACACAATAGGAGTTCTGAGTGCGTTGCCGGTGTTTTAGGGATTAGGGTTTCGGAGATTTAAGGATTGGGGAAGAGAAAGGATTAGACATCCGTTTGAGAAAAATCTCCCTTCTGGAAGTCGGTTATAATTAAAAAAATCAGGACAAGATTTTTTGCAATAATATACAATTTGCATACTGTCTTTGTTTTAATGTATTTATAAGTAATTCGAACTCATACAACTAACATCATTTTAACATACACCAACAGTATTTAATAATATATATCGAGTTATACTTTTTCTGAGGGGGAAAATCATCAAAGGACTTCTCCCTGAGAGTGTCAGACTGTTACTGACTAAAAATCACAATGTTTCTTCTTAAATTATATTTCAGGCTGTATTTCTAGCGTGCTCTAGATAGCTGGCGAAAAAACATAATAACTAGGCGCTACTTATACCAATAATAATTAAACGCATTCAATTATATATTATAATTAAACGGATTTAATTATATTTAGCACTAGCGACTCTCGCACGATTTCATTCGTTGCTGGGCTCCTACAGGTTGTAGCATGATGTTTTATAGCCTTATAAGCCTTCCACGATAAATCGACTAAAAACACAAACAAAAATGTTCAGTTCGAACCAGTAGTTCCGGAGATCAGCGCGTTAATAACAAGCAAATGTACTAACAAACTTTACAGCTTTATAATATTAGTATAGATTGTCATTTAAATATAAACTCATTTGGAGTATGCTTGATATTAGTTAGGTATGTATTAAATGTGACAACTCATTTGTTCTCTTTATTCCTCGTGTCGGTAACAGTCTATAAATTAAATCTAAGTGACTTGTAGGCGCTAATTAACATTACAGTATTGACTAAATATTCTGATAGCAATCAGTGTAAATAATTACCGTTACAACTAAGAGAAATGTCTCTTAATTAAGACATTTATATTTTCCGGAAGGACAATAATTAATTCGTACAAATTCCTCATTAAGTATATCTATTCGACATCGTTATCGAATTTGAATAACTTGTTCTATCCTTTTATCTGGTCACTAAACACAATCATTTAAACATCAATAAACATTTGGAATCTCATGATTAACTGTTACTCGTCTTATGAAGCAGTTCTGATTTTAAATTATTTAGATTTATGAAGAAATTAAGGTTACATTTATAAAAAAAAATGGTTTCACATATCATAAAATTTGATGGATTGGACAGATCACACCATTCAATTCATAGAATACGTGTGGCCTAGTTTCATAAATATCATTCATAACGCTACGGGTTTTTAAGAATGACTCAAACCTAAAACAACATTTGTATGCTCATAATCGGAGAATTCAACAAAAACATATCGTGTGCGAGCCACTTACACTCTCGTGATAATAGTTACAGTCAACTTAGGGAAATGGAGTAGAATGGAGGCGGTAGGCGCGAGCCGGCGACCTATCTAACGTACATACATACATACAGGCGCGTATCTATTCTACATAATATCGGTATTATTATCCTTAACGGGTTAAACTGTTATATTTAGTGCCAAGACTCTACTTGGCACACAACTAGACACCTCGAAGAGGATACAATTACACATTATACCAATGCTTATTTTATAGATGTAATCTAATAGATAACAAATCTAATAAAGCTATGTCCTCTATCTACTAAATGTATTCACATGATCAAGACTACTTCGTAACATTTTGAATGGGAATTAATATTTTCGATAAAATGGAGGCTCTGAGTTAGCAAATACCAAGATATCCGGTTCTTAGCTTGGTAACTGTGGAGTGTGGGTCGTATACTAATTATAGTATGGTATCGTATTAATGATGAATTGGAAACTGCATAAATGTCCTGGGTAGATTAATAAGTACAAGCTTTTTTTTGTTTACATTTGAACAAGAGATATTGCTAGTGTCAAATCTCTTAAGGCCAGTGACACTACGTAGCGCCGCTTTTTTATATTAATTAAAGCGGACTCAATCCTACATAACGGCCGCAAACATAGGGTATTTTCTTGGCATCCGCAATGTGACATACATTTTTTTAAGACGTAACTGTAGCGGAAATATGATTGATAGTTGACCGCTCAAGTATACTTCAGTTGTTGTGGTCGTGCATGCTTGCTCTGTGCAAATCTTAATCTGTGTGCCACATCGTGGGGGACAGCTGAATAATCAAAATATTTATTAGATGGCCATACGCGCGCCATCTTATCTGGCCGCGTGATTTACAAATGCAATTTATTTAAGTAGATACCGAATGATTAATCTATTTATAGTTGCTTTTAAACTGACATTTTTACTTTATCAAGTCCCTCAAAAAGAAGAATAAGATTAATAAATATTTGATGTGACTAACCTAATTCGATGCGACGGTAAAAATAACTAGCGACGCGGATTGTTCTCGAGCCCCTTGTAAAATCTAATAAGTACGGCACCCTATGGTGGTGTAAGTTTATAAAAATGTGCAGACGTACGTACGGAAGCCGCGATATTATGTTCATCATAAGCGCCACCTGCTCAGAAGATAATCATTTTGGGCGTGTTCGGGGCCACGGCACGGATATGAGCCGAATAAAGAATCGCGATGTGTGCAGATTTTACGGGTGTAGTGGTAGCTATTCGTAGCTACCGACTATTGATTTTGTCCACCCCAGACCGCACACCCGCCGAACTGCATCCAGTTCCGCTGCCTAACACTTAATACCCATCTATTATTATCAA